CCGCCTGTGCCCAGGGCGTGACCACCGCCATCGCGTTCCAGTCGGGCTTTGGCAGCGCCGCGTTTGCCATAGCGGTGGCGTTCAGCTCAATTGTCATGTACGATGCGGCCGGCGTCAGGCGGCACGCAGGTGCGGCGCTCACGGAGCCTGTGGGGGCTGAGCCATGTGGCCTGAGAGAGCAGGGGCAGGGCCGCCACCGCTGCAGTGGGCCAGGTCCCCAAGTAAGGGCAGTGGGGCACGGCAAGAGCCGATTGAAGTGGGCTCATCCTGCATGCACCACACTGCCGGCAGCCAGGCCGGCCAACGGTCCCCCCCCGGCTCCGCTTGGCCAGCCGCCCGCAACCGCCCTCTCCGACTGTTCCCCTGCACACCGCGTCTGTCCCGGCAGGCAAGCAGGCCGAGGTGCTCAACCAGGTGATAGGCGAGCTGCTGGAGGGCCACCCTGTCAGCGACGTGAAGCTCAAGGAGGTCCTGGGGCACACACCCCTGCAGGTGGAGGGGCTGGGGCACGAACGAGGGGGACGTGGGGGAAATATCGCGCCTTCGTGTAGGGGCGGAAGCGGCAGAACGGTTGTGGTAGAGGGCGGATGGGGCCAGGATGGAGGTTCGGGGTTGGGGGGGGGCGCCCTGTGTAACCCGTCTCAGGGGCGACCTGGGCCTGGCAGGCAGTGGCTGCGTCCGGGCTTGTGTGCTGCTCTGAACAACTCAGGCTTGGCAACCTGCCGAACAGGCTGCAGTTCTGACCCTTTACCGCCTATCCGGCGTACACCCTGCACTTGAGCCACGCATGGGTGCTCACAATGCCGCGCCTCGCTGCCCTCTGCCCAGGTGTGCGCGGGCGCCATCCTCGGCATCATATTCGGCATCTTCTTCCCGGCCGTGCAGCCTCCGCCGCTCTGATCCGTTCGCAGCTGCAGCAAGCCTGCCCTGCCACCAGCCCCCATGTGCATCGGGTTCTTTTCTGCAGGCCGTGTTGACGCTTTGTGCTCTTGTGCTCTGAAAGCTTCCTCAATTTTTGTGTAACCATACAAATTCTTTGTATGCTTCTGGCACCTCGGTACACTTCTGCTGCAGCGAGGGCTACTCATCTTCTCAAACCTGCCGGAGCCCTGGGGAAGTCGTGTGCATGTGTGCCTGCGTTCTTGAGCAGCGGGTGGATTCAAAAGCATGTCAAGGCACACAGTGCAAAGCAAGGCCACGCGCTGCGATGCGCGCATCGTCAGCTGCTGCGTTGCACATGTCACAGTACAAAACAAACGCCATAATGGCCCGCCTGCAGTCAGGACAAATTCGGTCTGGCCACTCTGACTACTCTGACAGTCACAGGCTCGAAGCTGCCAGCCTGTGAGTCCAAACGGATGGTGTGGGCACTGATTACAAGGCACACTGACACCTCATTATCGGAACCGGCTCCAGCAACGGTCCGGAGGGGCGTCCGCGGGGCTCACACCAGCCCCAGCTGCCCCAGCACCGCCTGCCGGAGGTCCTCAGCCACCGCCCCCTCCGCAAACACCTGCAGCACCTCCCCCGCCACCGCCTGGCTCGGCAGCGCCACCGCCCGCGCGAGCGCACGCGCCTGCGCCAGCTCCTCTCGCCGCGCCGCCGCTGCGGCACCATCTGCGCCGCCGTCGGCCTGTGGAGACGCGTCCTCGTCCCCGCCCTCTTGCCGGAGCGAATCGCGGCCGCTGCCGAGCCGCTCAGCCAGCCCGCGGTACAGCGCCCTCAACGCGTCCCGCAGCGCCGGGCCCGCCGCGTCCACTTTGGCCTGCAGCCGATCCAGCTCGGCCCGCGCCGCCTCCAGCCGCGCCGCCGCCGCCGCCTCCGCCCTGAGCGCAAAGTCGACGCGCGCGGATGCGCGCGGCGCCGCGTCCCCGCCGCCGCCGCCGTCGCCGCCGCCGTCGCGCTCGCGCGCGCGGGCGAGCTCC